TATCGGTCATTTGCGCTTCTTATTTTTTTGACAGTTCATACATATATGGAACGAAGTGGTGAACTCTGTGTCTGATTATCGGTAGTGGTTTGCATAAGCGAAGTATTCGCTTGGAAATGTTGACTTACGCGTATCCACTTGGAACAAATAAATAACAAGCCAGAACGATTAGCGGTACTGTTTACGTGCAACTTGGAAAACGTTAGTAATGCACCTCAACAGTGGAGCCACCAGCACAAAAAGTAACACGGCCACAATAAGCGGTTCGGTCCATAATCCTGTAGGTTGGGCATCAGACAGCCTGAGGTACATTGTGTCGGTCCTAGAGAGAACAGTAAGTTTATAGGACTAGTGACATAACGGGATTGGCTAAACACTCGATTCCAACACGTGTTACGATGACAAACTTTTATTGCGGGTGCAACACACAAGTGAGTAACAAGCGCCGTGGGATGGTCAGATGGAGAACCACGAAATGGGAACACAGGCAGACGTATTGAAAAAAGAAAAAGTGTTTTGATGGGCTCAGCATAGTGTGCACACAGAGGCACGCATAAAATAGCCAACTTCAATTGTATAGGGCGGATAATGTCAGCTGGTTCATTATTTGTTACTTTGTATCTTCCCTCGATGGATACCTGCAATATTCTATAATGTAGGTGATATGTGCAAACATCAAAATGACTTTTAAACTCGGTTATAGTAGGGACGGAAACAGCGTAAATAGGAAGATCGTGCCATGACCGACACACACGAAGAGAGTGGAAATTTCGCCGACATTTTGACCGACTGCACTGAGTGGTCAAATTAAACTGGTAGCCCCTCAAATTCGTTTTGTGACTGAGTTGCAGTAGGTGATGGCGGACGCGGTTAGGATTCCTCAGAATCTGATAGTTCATTAATAGTTCACTATGTAGGCGCCGCTACTGACCGCTGTACAAACTTACAGTCCTCAGCCTAAGTTGGTATAGAAGATGAAACAACTATTTGACGTGTTTGGTAGCTATTCGCTGTGGATCTCCAGAACAGCGAGTTCTCACTTGTGCTGCGGCTGCCAAGCCTGGATTACGTACTACACATGATGCGCATGCATGTGTAAGCACCTTTAGGTAAACATTTGGATTAGAACGCCGGAAGGTCTTTCGCAGTATACCAAAGTGTAGGTACTCAGTCTTTGAATCTTTCTCAGGCTGTTCTAAGCGGATCAAACCAGTCTGAAATATTACCCCAAGGTCTCACTCCTGGGTGAGTGCTTTCAGAACGTGATCACCAAGCGCAGATTACCGGATTCAGCGATTAGTCGTCTAGACCGTGCGTACGGTGTAGCACAGATGAAAGTATCTTTCAAGCTTGTCAAAAGTACAAGCTCATTGTGGCTAAACCAGAAATCCGTTTTTACCTATTCTTCTACTTGCACTCCCACTTTTGGCTGTTGTTAGGGTTGCCGTCTCCCGTGCCACCCATCTATTCCCTTCATGCTAGGTCGTCCAACGACAGCTATGAGAATAGCACCAAACTCTCTATGGTGTGTCAGTCAGGCGCATCCTTCATACAGCTTCGTCTCTTACCAGACGTTTGTGAGGAATCTATCCAACTGACTATTACCGCACTGAAGATGCCACCTCGCATGGTGATGAAACCTATGCGATCTCTTTACCATGCTCGAAAAAATGATCAACAGATGAGCTGTGTATGCAACCGCCTACGAAGGTTCAGTTTGTATTTCATCATCCAGGTCAATTAATACGCACGTACGCAACGGGTATGAAAGACCACGGAACTATCAACCGGAACCATACAACATACAGCTACACCCGAACAAAGTGCGGCGTAGATTCGTGGGATTAGGTTACTGCACGGACCCAAGCGGAGCGCTGACACGCGCTAGCTTCAAAACGATGTTTACTGGAGGGCAGATGCAATCTATCCCGTAGCTTTTTATATTGTGCTATGGCTAGATGTTTACAGACTCCTACTTCCGAAGTATACTAACATTATTCCTTAACAATTCAGCCTCGATGGAGTCGAGCTTGAGTTTCCGCAAAGATTGGGCCAATAGTTTAAACTGGAGCAAAATTATGATACATAAAAGTTAGCTTAAAACGCGTTATGCACTGAGCTGCGCTCGTCGCACTGGTTCTAATGAGCGGACGCACAAGAGTGGGTGGGGCGAATTTGGAGGGTAACCTCGGATTAAACTGCGGCGCAAACTAAGTGAGGCCGCTCGGCTTGCACCTCGCAAATTTCAGTGAACCCTGAACTAGAGTAAGGACAATATCACTGAGGTATTCCAAAATGCGGAGATGCACTGGCGTGGAAGATGATCGACAGAAAATCGTAAACGGTGGAAAACGGGATTTGGAATCAGGTTGGTGAAATCTAGGAGTATTAACCTGAATGGTGAATCCAGGGAAGATTAGTATGTATCGGTTCATAGGTAATTGGTGGGAAGAGCTGAACATGTCAGGGCACGAATAAACGTGAAAGCTGGTGTTAAGTTTGGAACTGGATGCTCGGACCGCTACTATTTTCCCTAGCAGCTGTTGTATTTCATCCTGCATTACCATGTAACCTTGCATCATCTGTGAATTCAACCGGCCTATGCGGAGTCTTTATAACTAAATCATTAACAAGATCGCCCCGGGACAAACCCTGCGTTCCACTTCTGATTAGTTATATGATGGTATATAATCCCGATAAACGGGCATGTTCTGTAGGTCATTCAACAGACGCCACAACAGGTGTCAAGAAGGAAATGGTACTCCAGCTGATACAGTGAGTATCCTACTCGGTTAGTATCATCTCGTGCCGACTGTGAATACCATTTTTCCTAGGTTTATTTTATTACCAACTGACCATATCAAGGGCTTAGGTCTATAACTGTGAATGGCCATGACTGCAGCAATCGATCGAATAAATCCGAGACCTACTGCAGTGGAAAACAAAGATTACAAGAGATTCCATTTAGACCACTGGATTGCACACCAAAGCGACACTTCTCAAGGGCCTTCTTCACAAGTGAATCTACGAATCGATTAGGATATGTGCCTCTTCGACCACATTAACCCTTTAAAATTATTGGATCTATTGTATCACCACCATTCTCAAACTGAAGTAGTGTCATCCGGCATTCATGGGGCTAATACGTCTGTCGCACTAGCGGAAGTATGTGTTCGATCATTCACAACAACAGTCTGGAGTACAGTCAACTATAAATGGAGACGGTACTTATTGGAAATCCATTGCAAGGCAAGTCTAGCACGTAGCACCCCAACGTCCGATCAGAAAGTGATGTTTCTTTGCGGTCAAACAGCTGTATATGCCCATACTAGTTCGGCAGTTCTCTTTGTTTAAAGCAAATGATAGATATATTCGGTTTGGTAGAAGAGGCTCCCAGATAGCATGCTTCACGTCCGGCAGCACGGTAAATACCTGAGTCAACTTTTATACCCCGATTCCGAAAACGTGCTCTACAATATCTCTTATGCCTACTTCATGAGCACTAACCTACTTCTCGACCAGATAACACGGAATCAATTCTTGCGCCATCCCGATGGCTACTTAGGGTAGTGCAGCACCAATATCAGTTGACCGCAGTAACACCGTCCTGTCTACTTCCAACATCGCTTCGGTTGCCGCATTATTCCGTGTCCCAACTACGCACACCAACAGTAGAATAAACGAAGCCCTGATGTAGTTATTTGATGCCAGTGGTTCCGCGCTCAATACCGAGTAAACTGGCTTCCTATTTTCCCGGCTTTGCGAACAGAAAGCAACAATCTATCGATTCTCCCTTTATGCGCTGAACTCGATGAGCATTGAAATTTTGCACTTGTTGCTGTAGCGTTTAATACAGCTTCTTCATCTGATTTGCAACGTTGGGCTTGTTAGTTTCCACAGCGGCGATAAGTGCATCGGTTAGTGCACGCGCAACTTTCATACTCCTATCCACACGCTTTCCCTGGGTGGTATTTACTATTCCAAACCATTCCTTGACAGCAGGAGGCAGACTGTCCAATATCTGATATGTCAATAGCTACTTTCTTGGGGCCTTATCCAGCCCAGGCACATCGGGATACAACATCCGCTAAACAGCTTTGCGCCGCCGCGTATTCTTCCGACAGTTGTCAGACAGTAGAATCCAAAGAGCAGCGCTTCCTTCGCAGCATCCACTCAATCTCGACAACGACCCTCCGTACTGCTCTCAGGAGCGCCCTGGCCTTGTTCTTAAGTAGGCTGCTCAGGATCACCAGCCTCCTGCGGTAGGCCTTTACTCCGAGCGCCTCGACGACATTATGGAGGTTCTCTAAGAGTGTATTCAAACGGCTCCAGCCGGTGGCTATTCGTTTCTTCTTTGAATGTAGCAGTGCCGATTGTGGGACCACAAAGAATGCGTGTGGATTAGCACTTGCTAATTGTGTGTGATCTTGGGGTTTGCGCATAATGTCCAGGTTCATTACGGTTATAGCAGTCTGTTGCTAAAAGTTCTTCGGATTATCCTAGTCTAGTTTTTACATTGATTTTGTACAAACGAATGAATCAGATGCCTTTCAGTACTGTTCCGTGAGAAGTATCCGGGGCAATTTATGCACCTCAGCACTTTGCTTTATGTTTGGCCCGACTGGGATTCAGTTTACAAAAGTAATCAGATTTATTTCCATTCCATCAGATCACAGGTAATATACTCCAAGTAGTCGGTATCAAACAACGTAACTGAGGGTTTCGTTTCCCTACTTGTCCTTCTGCATGCCAGTCCCACACATCCTCCAAGAGCTGAATGCATACAAAGCCAGACTCGCTGTATGTGTTCAGCCATTTACATGTCCCACGAAACCATTATAAAGCAGTGAAACCATCAGGTATCTTTCGTCGTGGTCGAAAGTGGTTGTCCAATCAGCTGTGATATTGGTTCCTAGGTGTATTTCTGATTGGCTGTCAGGATTCCTCCGCGCAAGCGATACCCGCACACGCTTACTGCTCTCGTTCCACACTTGATATTACAATGAGCCACGGAAGCTCAGTTGTTGTTTAGTACAAATGCCTGGTTGAAAAGGAGACATGAGACTCTGCTTCCCATGGCACCTGTCCAATTTATTAGCTCATGAAAGTGGGACAAGCCTGACTATCAACCAAACCAGCAGGGAGTTGTCCGTAAGCATTTTAGCTAGGATGATCTACACTCTGTGCATTTATGCCGTATCAGCCGCTGTGTTCATAGTGTACATGCGTATATTGTTCTATTTTACAATACTACACGAGTTCCCGAGGCAGACAGGGAATTCAAGTTTACTGAAAATGAATCCGGGACTTTCTGTTGTCCCTAATCCAAGTGTGTTTACGAGTCTGGTTCACATACGCACGTCCGACCCGGTGTCGAACTCGTTTATGGTGGATGAAATGGCAGCCTTTTTATCCCATTACCAAATGCATATCGCGCAGGGCAAGTTTGCCACTTGCGAGGACACGCCAGGTTTCTTGGACACCAGAAGATCTTGCCGCTTCAACCTGGATGCAAGTGGGCCGTGCAACCTTAAAAGTGGATTCGGTTATTTTAGAGGACGACCTTGCTTCGCCATCAAATTGAACCGTATCTACGGATGGCTTCCGGACCCCGTGGGTAACATCTCTGGAGTGAGATTACGTTGTGAAGGAATGACTCAAGCTGATGAGGTGTACTTGGGTCGCGTGTGCTACTACGACATGGACTCGTTAAAACGGCACAAGCCGAATAGTATGGATGCCGATTGGTGCGACCGCGAATATGGCGTCTTTGATTCAATGTTTTACCCATTTTTGAATCAAGCAAATTATCAAGCACCGATCGTTTTCGTGCAATTCATATCGCCGAAGAGGTACGTCATCATATGGATTAAATGTTATGCAGTAGCAAAAAACATTCACGTGAATGTGGAACAGAATGAAGGATCGGTGGTGTTCCAGATGCTATTAGACTAGTGGAAATAACTGGCTGGTCTAGTCAAATTCCAAAGTATACCATTGTAAATCTCTTGGGGCACACAGAGCCTATCGTCCGGTAACAATACTTTTTGGTCTCAACATAAGTATGACGCAGTAGACAGCAAAGTTATAGTTGTGAACGGATTAAAACATGTCCATGAAAATTTAAATTTCAATAGATAGTTGCTTTACATAGTGTTCGGGATTTTTGAATGCTTGTTTGCGAGGTAATAGACCATGCGATAGTTGACAAACCACAGTGTGTTGCAGATTGGAAATCCCTCCCTTGCCAACACATCCTAGCGCAATAACTTTTTATAGTTTGTTGTTCTTGGTGGTGTCCCGAATGCTCGGGGGCTGTTGGCAGACTGGTCCGTGCAAACACCTTTCAAGGAGCATTATATGCAAGCCGACTGTAAGTTTCGGCTCTGTTTTGCTGTCAACAAACAGCTCACTTCAGGCAACGGGGTAAATAAATCCGATGCTTTAATTCTTATCATAACTTTAATATAAATATACATCCAATACTGATGAGAAAGCGCGTTACTTTCGTGTGCACTTTCCCGCCACACTTTCATGTACCACATCCACAGACTCTCTTATCCCGCCGTTTCAGAAGAAACCATGGCTTTGGGTGTGAACCGTTAATTTTTTTGTAAAATAGGGACAAAACTAACCAATGCAAAATTCATTAGTTATCTGCCAATAACTGAACGGTAACACAAAATCATCCCTTTTTCATAAACGACTCCTATTTACAGCTTTCCGTTTTTTGCAAGTGTTCACAGATTTTGATGTTACGATTAATTGGACATGCTCTTCTTCCTACTTACTTATTTAACTGTTTCTCTTTCCTTACTTCATGCAACCGGCCCAGCAGGAACTGCCAATGCAAAATACGCGACAGTCATTATGTGGTCATGGTGTGATGCAGTTTTGTTCTAGGTTCTATTTAAACACGAAAATCTTCATTTACCTAGCAGGTATACTGAAACCGCTTATGGATACACTCGAAAAGAAGAACATTGGTCCCAAACAGGAATACCAGCACTAATTCCAATCCTCCGAAATCGGAGTAGATCGGTAGGCCTGTAAACGTATATCGACCTATTTTTTTAAATGCACAAACAGCGCTAAAGTTAACAAGCGACCACGGTAAAACGTTGCTTTATCGAACTGCAGTAGGTATAAGTACGGGTGCACAAGACCAATGTTTGCAGACGCTGTACTATTACGACAAAATATTCATCGACGGCACCCCTCATGCAAGCATTAAATTAACATAGACCCTAAAGGATGTTTAAATTAAATATAAAAGTAACTTAAGCAATGTATTTCATGGTAACAGGAGGCACGGTCTTTTGGCATGGTCCAGGTTGATTCAGAATTATGCCATTGTTGGTTGTTTTGCATTCGCAACACTCCACCAAGCGTTTCGACCTTGTTCGAACTTATCAATTTAATGACTGAACGGAAGGTTTAGTTTGTAAGACACTTATGAGTGGATTGTGACAATAGTCTCAATCTGGACCAGTTTTGACTTCAAGATCATATGTTATCCGGATTGAGACTGCGTGTCGCGACGCAAGCACAGATCAACTATCCCTCCAACGATACATTCAGAATTTTGTACAAACGGTATGTCTTTCTCACATATAACCAAACTTAAATGTACCTTTATTGGTAACGCTAATAGAAAAAACCTATATCTGGAACAGACCGTGGTCACTTCAACAACAATCCCGTCTAGTAGGAGAAATCATAATCATCCGTACTGCCAAGACAACACATGAGGAATAACAACAAAAGTGTGGACTAATAATCAGCAATCCGAAAGTGGAGATAAAGTCAGCTGTAGTGACCCATATACTGAGTACGCATTCCATTCGGCATAGCATAGCGAAAATGGTTGGGAAGAATATATAGAATCGACCTATAGTGGATTTCTTTACCAATACCTTTCGAAGTCCTTTTGGATCGTAGCTGGACAGTGGATAATATGAGAACCTCGATGTACAGGATTCAGGATAAGTAAGCAAAAAAGCGGTGAAAAGAATAAGGATCATCATCTGGATAAATCGACAGCTTTCAAGCGATATGCGGCAAGCATTCATGATAGGTTGGACACCAATGTAGTTTGAATAGTCACTAAACAGGATACGGGATGCCAGTGATCACCGAGTGCTGAGTTTTCAAGCAATGTGTCAGCAAGTTGAAGTGATGAAGGCCAGCCTGAGTGGAAGGTGAGTAACTAGTATCCCGGTATTCGCACCACTTAATACCCGTAGTTCCATTAATCAATGATTACCTTGTTCAAGGTAAACCCATGAACGCTCTAGTAGATTTATGGGTTCAGATGAGTACTGAATACCTTTCCCGAATAGTTGCCTGGCTCAATCGGAATTTTCGGTCATACCTGTCCAAAAACTTAGCTTCTAGGTATGGAAAGTCCCAGAAGTCTGGTTTCAGTAAACACTGTTAGAAAACTGTCAATCGTTTTACGAAACTGGTATCCGGTATAAGAGCACGAATATTATTTGGCAGCTTATAGCACCATCTAAAGCCTAAACGTGAAATTTTGATAAAGTGCTTCACTTTGATCTTCACACCGCCACCAAACTTTCTTCATCACATGAATCGTGCGGAGTCGACCGGGAAAGTGATCCGATTATGCCTAATACGTATTTTCTTTGTTCAGAGCGTGGATAAAGAGCTTAAGGTTCGACTTTAAGCGTTGACGTTAGACTTAATTGAATTCAAGCTATTCACAGCGTTCATAGTACGGAGATTTTGACAGGCGCCTATGCGTCAATTTGCACTTCATCAGTGTACTATCTCCGTGAGAATTCTTTACTTCTTGCTTGAGTTTCGGTTTACAACTGAGAGGTGATGATGCATAGGACAGGCGAACGAGAAGTACCTTCAGGATGCAAACGCTGTTTCAGAGGAGTTTCTAAACGTAGCAGTGAGGCCCTAGCTTGCTTTTGATTATATTAAAAACTTGGGAAAGCGTGAGCACATCACTCCCACGTTGCATACTGTAAGAGTGAGAGTAAGCAATTCATCGTCCAGATTCAGAATGCCCTGGGCAATATTGCAGTTGTGGTACATCTTGATGCGTCTTTCTGTCACATAGAATGGTTACAACATGGTGCATCAAACCCTATTGCATGGAAGACAATATGCACCTACATAAGATCATGTTTCGGGGTGGTGACGTGAAAGGAACGATGAATAGGCTGGAAATGTTATTCAGAAGTCGGCAACCAATGGGATTTCCGCAGCTACTACTTTCATCGTTAAATAGTTGATCCAGAGCGAAACTAAGCCTACCTTTGGCTAAGCCTACAGAGTCAGGATGAGCAAATTCAGCTGATCACAGCTTATCTCATGTAGCTTGTATTGTTGTCTGCATCAGAGCATTGTCTAATTTGTTATATAGAGAGCACCATGCGTAATTAAAAGAAGGAATCATCTTCCACCTCTTCAAATTTATGGGCATTATACAAGGACTTATATCGAATCACCCATCTGCAGGGTTTTACAAGGTAGAAATGGTTAGGCTACAAGTTAGAATGTTTTAATTTAACAGTAGGTATTCCTGATTATTCGTACACGTCAGCCTTCATAAACATCGATACATTGTCCCGGAGGTCTAAATTTACTAGTAAAAAGGAACAAAGGAAGTCAAACTCCACCTGTGAAAACAAATCGACCACATATATTAATTACTTAAAATGCACCAACAGGAATTTTCATCTAGAGGAAATCTGCTAAGAAGATTAAATGACTTGCAGTCCGATGCGATTTACATCTGATAGTAGGTTTCACAAGGGTCGGTGCTAGGGCTGTATCTAATTTTTGTTCATTAATAGACCTACGCATATTACTGCCCCGAATTTCTTAGTTTCTACTGTTGATATGGTAAGCGAATGTCCATCAATAAGACCATGTATTGCTCCGGGGAGTTAAGAACAATGCGTATTTAATGCACTGCCTACTTACGTGGTTTCCGCACGCGTTTTATCCGCGCTCCAAAAGTTATGGATATTACCATAAGTCATCTGCATTACGACCCAAAACCCGTGTGCTTGGAAGGGCAACATGTCGGGACAAATAGTCCACTATGCATTAATTTCCTGCACAATCGGAGTAAACTGCCTTACTTATGCCTTGTGTAACCGTTGAGGTGAGTCAGTCGAAACTCTCTTCATTCTATCATCATGTTTTACTCGATCATTGCTGCTTTGCATCCTGATTAACCTAACGGAATTATTGGGCATTATTTTTACTCGTATGATACCATATTTTACCGTGACGACTAAAGTAGACTTTTCTAAAATAGCTTGAGGAGTTAAATCCAACATCCGATAGAATTTTAAAGGCATTTTGCAGAGTATGTAAACTTTTTCCGTAAGTATTGGCTGAAATTAAATCGAATGATGAGCGATCGCGCATCACCACGAAATTTGAGTATTTGTTTTGAAAAACGATTTCATCAGACGCAAAAGTGCTCAAATGCGGCACTTTCAGGACAGAGTTGGCAGTTTATATCGTGTAGTGCACAATCTGATAGCCGTGCTAGGCATCTCAGGCAACTTGTTCAGTTTGACGCTCTCACTGTAGCTTCACTCAAACATCCTCCGTTTCACACTTCCTTTTTTCTTATCACTAGTATCCCGTATCATAATGACCAATTCATTGGTTAACAATACGCCTTAGGAAACCAGGTTTTATCAACGCCAACGGGCAGTGAAGCACCACTGAGGACAAAATTTGACATTATTTCCGATATCCTTCAATTATCTCTAACTGAGAAACGTGTTATTAGCTTGTGGCCTAGTGCTCATCTGTCAGCGCGGAATGTAGGCACCGTTTAGGAAGAAAAGAGGAACGTATTCATCCAAGTAAATGTCAAATTAGTTAACGTGTTACTGACCGGTTAACCTGTACTTCATCTGTTCCACGATAACCAAACACTAGATCCAACATGCATTTTAATAAAGGACATCATGGTAACAAGAATGGGCTCCATCTGCTTACTTG